TTTCCTGGGGACTGCATATAACCATTAAGAATTCTCCAGTGTCTAATGGATGCCTAAGTATGGTGGTTTGAGGAAAATGTCATAATTACGACAGTCAACCTGGTAGGTTTGCATAGAACCTGACAGTTTTATTCTTTGAGATCCAGCCTTCTGGTGACAATGATTCATAGGGGATAGAATTGCACACCAGCCACTTCAAACTGTGGCTGTCCCGTGGCAAGCTCTGAGTGGGGTTCAGCTGGACCATACCTTTCTCTCATCTAAAATGGGACCCTGTAGTACCCCATGTTCAGCTTCTACTCCAGAATGGTATGGGCCTCTCTAGGTCCTGCCATCACCATGTGGCTATCTCACACTTCCTAGTATATCTAAAATCACCTACATTTAGGATTTTGTCCTGGATGCTTTTCTAATGTTAGGGAGGAAACATCTGTTTAGAACCAAACCATCTGCAAGCAATCAGATGTTGCATCAGTGATTATCAGTCTCTTCTGTCAGTTTTTAGCTGTTGCAGTGCACTATTCTAATTTGCTCACGATTTCAATGTCATCTTAAAACCTGACAGATATTGAGCAACCGTGGCTATAACTTGTTTCACAGTTTTCAACATCTATCTCTTCATACTCATATCTGGCTTGGATGCTTTATGTAGATCTGTTAGCTTGCATTGTTTTTTTTAATAGGTTGTATGCATATAAAATAATGCAGATAAAATCTGATCTAGAGACAGACAAAACTTTCTACTTAAACTGAGGAAGAGTAAAACAAAGTTACATCCACTTCTAGATCAGAATTTATTCCTAGTGGAGAACTTACATTTAAAGACACAGACTTTATTATTCCCCCAGTAGTTTTATTTCAAAGATATAGCTGTCTAGACCTACTGCTACTGTATTGGAAATGGCTATAATAGCTCAAAAGTATTTAAGGAGAGGTTTCGAAAAGCAGACTGGGATTTGTGGATTTCTTTAGACTATATGTTGTCTCTACAGAACAGACTTGCATGAAAACATGAGTTCTTGGGTCTCGGTTTCCTTGACACAACTCCACTCACACAGGTTTCCTCCTAACTTATGCCAGCATAAGTGGTAAACTTTTTACCAGTAAATAAATTAGGGCCAGCACACAGGTTTAGTGACGCTACATCCACACTGTCCAATTCTTAGCTCTCCCCCTGATACAAATCTAGCTCATGCCAACTGGTGCTATTCCAGAGGCTGCAGGACCTAAATGCAATGAAAATTCCTCACCTCCCTTTAAGGGTAGTATGAACAAATATTTAAGTATTATTCATCTCATTGCATAGCTGTCTCTTATTTCTCTTTGCTAATAGAAAAATCATGTTTTGTAACTATTCCTTCTAAAGGTGGTGCCAGAAGTGTGCTTAATAGACTTTGAGGTTAGTTGTTGTTGTTATTAATATTAATATTAACATTAGTAGTAGTAGTAGTAGTAGTAGTAGTATAATTTTTAATTCTGTGTAAGGACAAGGACACTAAACTAGGCTGGAATTAAATAGATTAAGTTTCTTCAGCTTGGGAAGAGACAGGTGGAGAGACAGAATTCAAGTACAGAAAATTATGAGCAGTGTAATTGTTTGGATAGAAAAGCTGAATAGACAAGTAGTCAGAAAGTTACTTGTTAAATGGAATTATCAGACAATTTTATAATAGGAAAAGAAAATACTTTTTTTACAGATTAAATCAGTTATCAAAATTCACAATTCATTTCCATAGTATTTATGGATTCAAACAAATACATAGTTATCTCCTGATGACTATTAAATGTGATAGCATAGTCTCAGATTCATTAAATCCCCAACCCAGTAATTGCTGGAAGTTGTGAAGAAAGTATCGTTCTCTTTTTCTGTTGTCCTTGCCTAATCTTCTGCTACTTAGGATTGTTAGAGTGGACGAAAGGAGCTAGAAAAGGTACTGTCTACTACAGGTTTTATTACAGATAATAATATACTTCTGAGTGACCAATTCAGCAGAGCATGCAATATGTAACTAGCGTAACTTGTGATCTCTGAATCATTTCAGGCATTTGTAGGAAATCTGCTGTATTTTGATTTTGGTGCCAGCAACAGCCTAATTACATCTGTCTTCACTGTCTAGATGCTTTAAACACACAGTCTCCCAATTCCTTTTCTTTCTTCTCAAATAAAGCTTTATGATAACATGTAAAAAGTCAAAAGTAATGTAATGCAAAATGGCAATTAGCCATTCATCCACTGACCATTTAGGTTTGCTGAAATTGTTGAATTTCCTCATGATGTTCAGTCAGTCACCTGTAGCCCAATGCTTGGATTTGAAGTGCTGCACAGAAGCATCCATATTACCACTCTCGAGAAGCAGCAAACCCACTTGTTTTGGTTTTTACAATCCTGAGACCCTTCCTCTACTTTTTTGTGGAACTCTAGGAATGGATGAAATGCTCTTTGTTTTCCTTACTTTAGTGTTTAGACAAGATATCTCTCTCTTATTTTTTTTAATTCATTCTCCCAGCCTTGTACTAACTTTGGGCTGTTTGAAGACACTTGTTTTTCATCATTCATAGACGAGAAATATGGGTCACAATCTGACTCTGCATTCTTAGTACTTTATTACTATTGATGCCATTTACTACTAGCAGTTTGTATAAATGACAGTAGGTGACAGTGGTTACATGTTTAAATACTTATATCATACTGATGGCATAAAACAGCAGAGGCTGAAATAAGAGTTCCACAACAGAAGAGTTTTATTGCAGAACAGTTTTGCAATGCAGGAGTCTCATATAAGCTTCCATGTTCCTTTTCCAATAAGATATCTAACAACAAAGTGTTTCTCAATAAAACTTATGAACAGAATCTTCATGCTAATTCTCTCCTCCGGGCTCAGATGCATTATTACATCATCACAGCTTGTCAAGCTACAATGTCAATTGAATTGCCATAGATGACCATAAGTATGCTATTAGCCCATGGCAAATCAAGGTAATATGACTGAACTTAATCCTTGATGAAATACTTTGTCTTGTCACTCTGTGCACACAGCTGTTGTGGCTCATGTGAAATATGACTTGACCGTGTATTTAACTCATCCTCATAAAATGTTTTTCATGACAAATAGTTTGCTCTAAAAGAGTAATTAGCTTGAGGTAGGAGTTCATATGTTAGCATTGCTTCAAAGGTCTACCCTCACATGGTGAGAGCTGGCCCTGCATTCCTTCTCCCTTGCAGGGCAATAAGTCTTTCCAAAGTCTAAGTATGTTTCTGTTCAGCTTTACCAACATTTTTTTCCTTTTTGGGTTTCTTTCAAAATCTTTGTATTCTATCTTGTGCCCAAGATAGTTTTGGGTTTTTTTTCCCTCTCTCTCTCCCAAGAAAATATTGTGAATCCAAGATTGGACAGCAGGTTACTGCTACTAAAATAAAAATCCCATTAAGAAAAAGGCATTTTCATGCAGTATGAAAATCAATAGGACTTTAAGCTGGATCAATGGGCTGAGGCCAATTATATGAAGTTCAACAAGGCCAAATGCCGGGTCCTGCACTTCAGTCACAATAACCCCATGCAATGGTACAGGCTTGGGAAGGAGTGGCTGGAAAGCTGTTTGGCAGAAAAGGACCGGGGCATATTAGTTGACAGCTGACTGAACATGAGCCAGCAGTGTGCTCAGGTGGCCAAGAAGGCCAACGGCATCCTGGCCTGCATCGGGAATAGTGTGGCCAGCAGGAGTAAGGAGGTGATTGTCCCCCTGTACTTGGCACTGATGAGGTTGCACCTTGAGTGCTGTGTTCAGTTTTGGTCCTCTCACTACAAGAAGGACATTGAGGCGCTGTCCAGAGATCTTGAAGGTCTTTTCCAACCTTAATGATTTTATGATTCTAGATCTGATAAGTACAGTGAATTTGCTGTTGTTCTTAATATGATTATTCTATTTCAGCTTGCTGTGTTTTTTCAGTTCAACCATCCCACAGACAGCAATGTATTAATGGTATTTCTTCATATGTTGTTAGTCTTGCTTTATAATATGCTAATTATTTTTTTTACAGAAAGCAGTATTCTTTGGATTGCACTTTGTTATTTTTGAATTGGCAGGTTGGCTATTACTAGACAGTAACCATAAATGCCACCATATTTTGCAGAAATAAGTGAGTTACCTCTCTTCCAAAGAATAATCTGATAAGCTTACTGAATATAAGTTTGTTTGAGAAGATTGCTACTGAAAAACTTAGCTTCTTTAAATTCAAATTGGAAATTTTAGAATATGTTCAATACAAAATATTTGGCCCACACATATTTCTAGAATTTTCTCACAATGGGGTCACTAATTCCAACAAGCAGGGTGTCTATGTGTCTCTCCTTTTTTAATTTTTTTTAAGTACCCTTAGAAGTATGGAAGAGGTCACTGAAAATATAATTAAAAGTATTTGTGAAATTAGAACACAAATAGAAGTCTGGGATCACAGCTGGTTTGGATACTTCCTCAGATCTGAAGAACATCAAGGTAAAGGTGCCCTATTTTAGACAGGATTTGTTGTATACAGGTTATTTCCTGCAATGGGATTTCACAAGACATCCAGAAGCAGAGTCAGGCCCAGCGTAGGTGAGTTTTTAATGCCACCCTTCCCTTTTTATAGCTCTGTCTCGGAAGAACAAAGTACTGTGGGTTCCATTTAATCACTTTTGAAATAATTGTCCAATTACACAATAATACATTGCCAATCTTTCATAAGTTTCGCATGTTTCAAAATAGACAAAGGAGTGGTGTTGAAGACGTACAATTGAGGGCACTGGTGAAGCAGAGAGAAAATGGGAGATACTTGTAATCATCAGTAACAACTGCAGTATTAAAAGTTCTTTTCTTCAGGTACAGGTTGCATCACCTGAAACAGTGTTAGGTCTAAATGTCTCTCCTAATTTGTGGCATATTAGAGAAAAAGATTTGCCTTGAAGTCTAAGCCTTGATGAGATAAAATATATTAATCACAACTTTCTGTTCTGTATTTTCAGAAAAATGGCATATCAAATGGAACTCTCTACAAAAAAAGATTTATTGAGCACTTTGAAAAGGCACCATTGTATGTTACTCTTCTTACTTTCCTGGCTTTTGGAGTGGGAACAGTATTTGGCTATCTGCGAGATTTTATGAGAGCGTGGGGCCTAGAAAAACGTAACATTGCTGAAGAAAGAGAAGAACAAAAAGTATGTATGAAAAAGACATTTTATGTATCTAAGCTGAGTTTTCCCCTGCTTGCAAGTTATATACAATAACCTACCGAAGTAACAAGGAAGAAAACTTTCATCTTAGAGAAGTATATTGCATAGGGATGAGAGGAATGACATGTACTGCAGTACAGTTAAACACATGTGTATGAATATATACCTATTTATATGTAAAATCATAATTTTCACCCAGGGAGATGTTCACCTTGTTCTAAGAGTGTTAGAATACTCCGAGCAAAATAGAATTTCAGTGTATTAGGTCAATCTACAGAAAAAGAAAACTCAGAAATGCCTTACTGTTAAATACATCATCTCTTCAAATTTCTTAAACCACTGTTTTTCTTTGTCCTGTCTGGCTGTCTTACTTTGTCCTATGTAGCAGTAGGCAGTGCTAATATCTTTGTAATTCCTGACTTATGTTTGCTGAACTGCTGTTCACAGAGCACTCAGGAACAAAGTACAAAGTGAATGTAGCCTGAATTTTTGCAAGTCCTGACTCAGAAATATTCTTCATCCTGCCTGGTTCTAGGTGAAACTTGCAAGCTCAATTGCCTTTTAACTTTGTTTAGCTTTTTGTTGTTGTTATTGCTCCTCCTTCTCTGTGCAGTTTGAGCCATCATTTACAATAACACTTGGCATAATGGAGCAACAATGTGTATAGTGTTACTGTTCCTCTTACAAACAAAATTCCCAAAATTGTTTCCTGTTCCAGCTTTTCGAAGATGCATGCACTACTTAGTGAAATACTATGGTGCAGTCTTTTTATCAGCACTGTCATGGAATATTCTTTTCAGTTCATTTCATGATTTGGCCTATTGAGCTATTTTGATTCTAGACATGCCTCCTAAATATTTTTGCCAGCCACCATGGATTATGTGTTCATTTAATTCTTCAGTCTGTCACATATGTAACTACATGCCACGTTATTTTATCAGTTTCTTGTATCCAGTGTATAATATGGCTGTTCTGCTGTTTCATATAAAGCTGTGTTTAGATTCCATAGCTTTCTTTTAATTTAATTTCCAAGTAAAACCCATAGATAAAAATTAATTGTCAACCATACTAGTTGTCTTACCTGGCTGTTTGCATATCCAGTCAACGCCAGTAAGGCCCAGCTCCGTTATATTGGACTAGTTTTAATCTAATTTATCCAACATTTCACGAAACAGAATGAGTTGTTTAGCCTAGTTTTGCAATCTGCATCACACATAGCAAAATCCTCAATTTTAAGAACTTGGTTTCTCCAAGTGAAAGAATCATTACTTCTTTCATTTCCAACTTTTCAAATACTGGACTGGAGAATTAGGCTGATTTGTTGACCATTTAAAAAAAAAAGCCACACACATACACAAAAACCCCACACAAAAAAACCCCACCTCCCTAAAAAAGCCAACACTGTATTTCAAGGGAATTAAAGTAAGGTATTTGTTGATTGGAGTTGTTTGTAACATAGGAATGTCTAGCTGTTATAGTTCTCTGTTGACTAATGTATCAGTTTTTTCTTTTTAATGGAAATTACTTGGATATGGAAGCAGACATCTTTCTAGCAACATAACCCTGTGCATGTTTTCAAACCAGGATTTTGTGCCACTTTATCAAGATTTTGAGAACTTTTACACAAGAAACCTCTATATGAGAATACGGGATAACTGGAATCGTCCGATTTGCAGTGTCCCAGGACCACAGTTTGACCTCATGGAGCGTGTTACAGATGATTACAACTGGACATTTAGGTGAGTCAGCTTACACTGCAGCTGTCAGCTTCAGAAGAATATTCCTGATACATCTGCAAAGCACAGAACATTGCATTTATTCCCTCATACCTAGATCCTTGACTAATGTACAGCAGTGTATTTTTTTCTGAAATCCATACTGTGCTGACAATCTGTTCCCTTTCTTCTGAATATTGTTTGGAAAGGCAGTGTTGAGGGACTGAACTCTATCACAAATGGGTTTTATTTGGTGGTGACAGCACAAGTATTCAATTAATTCATTTATTAATTCCATTCTGAATTAAATAGATATGGAAATTCACAACATAGACAATCTGTCGGTTGGCCATATTTCGGCTTATTAAGAATGTATTGTAGTGTTTCCCACAAGATTTTCCTCATGTTTAATTTCTGTGTGTGTCTTCTACACTGACTTTGTGGAAGCTGTTGAAAATTTGCTTGAAAAAATAATGTCTGTAAGTTGTTCCTTAAATAAAGTCCTAGGCTGTTTATTAAAGTCCTAGGTTTGTTTATTTAAATCCATAAAAGCACCCTTTCACCTAATACCAATATATTGCCATCTACAGCTTGGAATCTGGAAAACATTCTGAGCAAGAAGCAGTATTTAGTCAGGAAAAGAGAGAGTCTGGAAAAACCTTTGAGACATTAAAGTATGAGGATTGTAAGTTCCCAAATAGGAATTTTATAGTGGAACAAAATTGGGTGTGAAAATCTGGGGGGATTTTTCTTTTCTTTTTGTTTGGTGTGGAGGGAAAGTTGCACTATTCTTTAAAATTTGCTTTAATTATAGGTTTACAGGAAGGACTATCAAGAATGTAATCAATATGGGTTCCTATAACTACCTCGGCTTTGCAGAAACAGATGTTAATGCTTTGAAAACTGTGGCTGTAGAGTTACAAAAATATGGGACAGGAATCTGCAGTACCAGACAGGAAATGGGTGAGTAAACAGCTAGATGGCCACCAGTTTTTGTAACTATATGCTTTTTTTTTCTTTACAGATATCTTAAAGGTATTTGATACTTATATAATTTTAGTCACATCAACAATTACTTGCTTCATTATTAGGAATCATGGTGTATTTTACTCATTATCACATAAGGATTTCTTTTTAAAAGGAAAAATGTTATTGATTTTTGGAAAAGCAAAACAAATGTGTCATATACTGTCCTGGGACACTTAATAATGGAATTAAAAGGCTTATTTTTTAAAAGACAGTAAAATAAACATTGAGACATCAAGAATTGTTGTACAACAAATTTAATTGCGTCAAAATTTTTTATCAGTTACCACATAGTATGTTCTGATTAGTAAAATGAGCTTTAATTTGGGTTTTTCTAATCCCGTGTTCTAAGAGTATATAGTAATGTTTTGTGAGACATTCATGGGCACAACACAGAAAATTCTAGTGTGCCTCTAAGGAATAAATTCAGGAAGGCTTCATCTCACTTTTTTGTTTTGTATGTCCTTAATGATTTGTCTCCTTTTTTGCTTTGTCAGCTGTGTGTAGTCCTATCTTCAGTTGTATATTTTTACACAAAACCTTGCATTCCTAATGGCACAATCAGCCTGCATTTCAGATAAAACAATTTTGAGCTATAAAAATGCAAGGGGATCTTTCTCTTCAGGCTTTATCTTTCTTGGGAGCTATCAGGAGAAAAAAAAAAGTTTTCTCAGTATGAATAAGTCTTTTACAGACTTTTTTTTTTTCCCTGATGTGGCAACCTGAAAAAAAATTTTCATTTTGTATCTCAAAGCAAACCTTTTCCTGTAGAAATCTTATGAAAAAATACTGTATTTCTTTTGTCTTTTTTTCATTCATAGTTTCATATCCAGACAAAAAAGAATAAATAATTCAAACCTTGTAATCTGCTTCTTATCTTGTCATCAGAGTTTGATTTGACAATAATAAATATGTCAGTGACACCACTCAGAGAGGGTTTACAGACCTTTTGTAGGTGACCTATCTGGTGACTGCAGTATATTTTTGAACCTGAATTGCATGCTTGAAACTGGTCACCATTGACAGTCATCTAAAGTATTGAAGGAACATTTCTCTGTGTCTTTTTCTCTTGGATTCTATTTTGTCTGATAACATTTCAAGTTGTTTTCAGTACATCAAAGAATATACCTGATATTCCTCATTCTTTATCTTTTGTAGATTTTTTTTATATGGAAGATTTGCATAACTTTGACTTATTCTCAGAAAAAAAAACAACTTATGAAAAGATTCTGTCTTCAAATATTAAAAATCTAATTACTTAACTTCATCTAGTCTGTTTAGAGATCCAATCTATACAGATTTCTGAGACTTTCTCTTCACCCGAACTCCTGTGCAGTACTCAAAGTTTTCTTGACAGATACAGCAAAGTTTTATATTCATTCTAATTGCTTTTACAGCAAATAGTCCCATAAACTTCATTCAGACTACTCATAATGCAAGAATGGGCTATAAGTAAAGAACATTGTAGAAGTCTTGTCAGTATATATCTTTTAGAGAGTGAATTTCAGAAAGCAGCTTGGACATCAAGACTCATTAAAGCAGGAAAGCAGGTTGTTAAGACTGGGCTTAGGTGGTGTAGATGAGCAGTCATAGCATTTTGTTCTACACAGCTAACAGAGAGCCTGTGCTGCTTGTGTAGTCAGTGGAGAGACAGGTTGCTCCACAGAGCAATTCTGAGCAATGGTTACTTCATTGGCCCTGGCTCTGTTGGAGCCTGTCTACCGCTGAGGACTGTATAAGCAACCTAAGGAAAATAGCTTCTTATTAGCATTGTGGACAGTCTCTCCTTTTTCTTTTATCCTCTTGTGCTGTTTCAGCGCTATTCTGGTTCACAGTTGTGCAGATTTGAAAAATTCTGTCCAAGTTAAATATAGGTACACATATACTTTCAAAAGTGAGATAGGGAAATGTCTGTATGAAAGGTCTTCCTTTTTAATTAAAATGTGCCTTCTTCATCTTTGAACAATAGAACAGAATGATTTTGTTCCTCGGCAGATAATATTTCAAAACCTCTGTTGTAATTGTGTGGCTAAGCTAAAATGGTTTGAAGTAAAAATGCAGTGGGCTGTAGTAGCCAAGGCTATAAATTGCCTGTGGGGTCCTAATCCAAGAGAGCACTTGAACGTATTTATCATTTTCAATCTAACTGACTTTGAAAGTACTGTTCTGCTTATATGCATTTAAGCATCTGGCATGTTAGAGGATTTACCAAAATCTTTCTCAAAGCTGCGATTGGTCTCTCTTTTTGAGAAGGATCGTTCCACTACTTTGAGATTTCTGAGAAAGAGGGAAAAAAAGAAGAAAAAAAATAATTTATGTGAGTGATGTTTGAAAGAATACCTGGTGGTAAAACTGCCCTTTATGGTCTTCTGCTCTCCTCCTCTTATAACTGTGCAGACCATGGAGTGGGTATAAAATGCTGTCATATCAGAATGTTGTTGCAGGTAGCTTGCTCTCAGAATAAGTTAATATAGACACAAAACACAAAATTGTGTTTTATTAAGGAAACTTAGTAAAGCTAAACCTTGCTAAATGTAAAAACTGTTATTCTGCATTCCCATAAAAGTAACTTAAGACTGTGTGCAAACATAGTTCAGAAATTAACTTCAGCGAGAACTGTAAAGCCCTGCTCATGCTTTCTCTAAAATAATAATGCACACACCACTTAAACAGGCACAAAGCATAGGAAACTGATAAAAACAGTGGCTGGTCTTCCTAGATCTGTCTTCCATAAAGAGATTTAAGGCTCTTCATTCCATTATTAATTCCATGCTCCTTTAATAATAATAATAACAATAATAATAACAATAATAATAACAATAATAATAACAATAATAATAATATATCATCATCATCACTTTCTTAGCATAACAGTGTCATTTAAGACACATTCCTGAGGGTTCTGTGGGACTTTCAATCTTGAAGAAAAATGTTTTCCTTTTTTTAAGACCAAACTAACTATCATCTCTGAGGAGAAAGATTTTGGGGTCATAAGTGGTAGTTCTGTGAAAGTATTAGCTTATTGTTTGGTGATCAGAAAGCAAATAAAATACTAGAAATCACTAGGAAGTGAACAGAAAGCCAACTGTAGAACCTCAGTATGCTACTGCATAAAGCTGTGGTTTGCTGTCATCTGTGCAGTACTGGTTAAAAGCATTTAGCAGAACTAGAAAGTGTCAGAGGGGCAATGAGAATCATCAAAGGCCTCAAACAGCTTCTAGGTGAAGAGCTGTCCTCAGCTATCAGAAATGCCTGTTATCTGGCTTGAAAAGAGCCTAAAGGGGGGAATTATAGAAATCTTCAAAATTATGTGTTGTGTGGAAGAGTGGTCAGGGTTGGCTGTTCGTTGTCTCTTCCACTACAAGATCTGCAGGGCATTGTATGCAGTTGCTAGAAGGTTTCCATTCTAATACGGGAGGCAGCTCTTCACACTGGAAGCTGGCAGACCTGAGGATCTCATTGTGGAAAAGGCTGCAGATGCTAAAACTTTACAGTCCCTTGCATTATAGGGCATACTGGCCACATACAGAGGAGAGATCCTTCATAGTTACTAGAAATACTAAAACTGTTATCTGATTCAGGATGTCGTTATGCTGAAATTAGAAGCTGAGATACTACTTAGATATGTTTGTCCTGCTTTCATTCTTCCCCAGATATCAACACAAGACCACTGTCAGATGAAGAATTATGGACAAAAGACACCCATTGTGTGGCACAGTGCATCTGTTACTAGTTGTTTAGCAATATTTTATGTAATTAGTTGTTTAGTATTAATTTATATTGTTACTTATATACCTATGGCCATTGCTGTACAACCACTAATACTGGACCAGTGGACTATCAAATCATCATACAAATCTGGCTTGAAGCAGGAAAATGCGCAAACTTGTATTTTTATACATTTGGGCATTATTTATGATAGAGGTAGCATATAAGCAACTGATGAAGCAGTAACCTGACTGTTGCCAGTGTTTCTGAAGACACTAGAAAGAATTGCACATATGCTTGGGGCATGTCTTCTAAGAGCAGTAGCTTGGGTGAATGTGTGAAAGTGGTTGTTTTCAGACAGGAGGCAGAAGGCAAAAACCACTGTTATCATGGTCTGCGTAGAGGGAAAGACTTTTCAGTTCTGTGTGGTATGTGTGGTAGAAGTAGTCCCTGAAGGATCTTGGCAGAAAAAAATTAAGCAGAAGTAAGATCCTTCAGAAAATTTCTAAGCAGCTTGAGATGTAGAATGAGGACCCTCTTGGTCAGCAGGAGAGTCTGGAAGGAACAATAGGACCATTCACCTAGAATGGTAAGAGCATTCTCAGCACATCTGAGCATGGCAAAGTTACACTTACCGAAGCCAAAGGCAAAGATGTGCTATTAACTGTGTGAGGTGTCAAGGAAAGATACAAGAGACATCTGCACCTACCATATCCGACAAAACTGACAATGAGTGTAATTTAAGTTAAAACAGCTTTTGTTAGCAGCAGTCTCTCCTGCAGATGCAGAAAAAGTAATTTTTTAAATTTCTTTGGCTAATTCATTAGGAGACAAGAAACCTATCAGGATATGAAAAAGCAGGAAGTTTTGTTTTCCAGGAATAAACATGAGACAGTAATTCTCAAACGTTGAAGGACTTAACTAACTGAAAACCAGCTATTCAAGTAACTGAATTATTTGCAATGTTAGGCTATTTCGTGTAAACTACCCCCAAAAAATCTCTATACTATGTATTATTTATGTTTTATTTATTTTAATCATCCTCTCAAAAGTGTTACTTTTTAGCATAATAAAAATGCTAAAAAGTAGGAGTCTAAATTCATTTGGAGTAGCATGTATTCCCTCTATATAGTGAAAGGAATGACAACTTGAATGTGAAGTCCTTGTTTCCCATGCAAATCAATGTATTTTAATAGCTAGAGTGGGAGTTGGCTCCTGTTGAAGGCAGG